CTTTGTTCAACTTCCACTCAGTCCCCAGACTGCACACCTGTAGAAATGAAAACCAACCATTTCCCACTCCTTCCCAGTCCAAACTGACTCCAATGCTGTCACATAGGTGTTCAATCCCTGATTGAGTGATATGCAGAAGCAACATCCCCAACCACATTTTCCACACAAACCACCCCAGGTATCTTTGCCAAATACTCCCCAGATGGGCTCATGAAGAGTTGGACATGACTGAAAAATGACTGAGCAAAAACAGAAATATATATACATACATACATATATTTTCCCCAAGCTGCCTAGAATATGTGCTATACATTTGACAAAATTTTGTTGAGTGAATGAATGAAGGAATAGAATTAGTAAGAAGGCAAGGTTTTGTAGCAAATGAAGTAATTATTCATTGTTGTCAATAATATGCTTACAATTGAAATACTGAAAGCAGCTCTTCTGCCATGTTTTTGTCTCATATAAATGCTGGAATGTTTAGGCATTCCATCGAGTTCTAGCCATTAAGTCCATGGTAAACACACTCCCCAAAGTTTCCTTAAAGTAACCTTGTACAAAGTGAGATTTAGTAAGCATTAATGACCAGGTGAGGGTTTGGGAATATCTCTTACCATCTCCTGTTCCCCGGGTGTTTGCTTCCCCTGGTATCTGCTGGGTATCCTGGAATCTATCCTGCACTATCTTCATAGTGTGTCAGTGAGAGGAGATGAGTTAGAAGAAGGGAGAAAAGGGAACTGCACACAAGGGAGCATGCAGAATCCAAGTTTAATTCTACAATTGCATTGGATTAGTCACCGAAGTACTTAGATGAATGCAGTCGATATGTAAATATAAGAACATGATCATTATAACATGAATTCTTGAATAATCATAGCCCTTGGGAAAATTTAAAAAGACTTCAGCTCCAAGAAGATCCAGCTTTGAATACTGTGGAAAAACACCTGACTGGTCCATTCACCAGGACATTAGCAAAAGAAAGGGGGAGAAGGAAGTCTCATTCCAGAGAGAAAGAGAATTCCAGATGAGAGAGATTTTCTGTCCCTTTAAGGTTCAGGCTTTACCTCAGTACACATTAAAGATTTATCTTGGAACCTGGAGACTAAGAAGTAAAATCCTCTAAAAAGGAGTTACAGGAAGGTGAGGGGATTAGGGCAGGTAAGGAGTCTGCCAGAGAACCGGTTTGAAGTAGAAGGCAGCATAAAAAGAAAAAGGTTAAAAGGGTAAAGGGTGGGATGGGGGGAATGGAATTTGTGTCAAGAAATTCAAGAGCACTTGAGTCCAACTGACTCTACTGGTTTAGCTGAGACTGGATCAGAGCAGTGCAATTTAACACAGGGACAGACTTCAACTGGAGGGGGTTGGGGGGAGAGGTAATTAAAAGCCCTCCACATGTAGATGGCAAATGTTTTCCTTCACTGCCTCTATTTCTCAGGTTCTCCTTTAGTCTCACTTGAAATGAAAAACTCTTCATATCTAGATTTGAAAGAGTCCGAAGTTGAATCTCAATACACAGACTTGAGAGCTCAAGTTTAGAGGTTATCTCATCCAACCATCTTACTGCATACACTCATCAGAGCTCAGGACCCCAAAAAGCAGACCAATAGTAGAATTGCCAAAGATGAATGTTGCTTTCAGTTTTGTAAATATTGTGAGTCAAAAGTTTCTGCCCCACCTACTGTAGTCATTTTCAACATAGGTACATATTTTAAAAGCCTGCTTACCTGGCTTCTTGGCAATTTGCTTGGCCTTTGTTGAACCTCACTCAGAACCCATTGACTTCTCTTCCTGCTGAAATTTTCAGCTACTCTATCTCCTCTCAACCACATTTTCTCCCCCCTTTTCAGAGTTTTGGGTTTACATTCCTCCCCACATCATTTTTAAGATATAGGAAATCAAGTTATCAGCATCTGTGTGCTGTCTCTTCATCTTGACTTTGTGTGCATGTGCAAATCATTGCTAAAGGTATCTCCCTATAAAGAAAATTACTTTGTGTAATGTATCCAATTGAAAACACACAAACTCACACACACATATGCATACACACACATACACATAGATGCTTCTATACTCACATATCATGAGGCCTTCTAAAATCTTACAGGGTTATACAACCATGGAGCTTCTCATTTGCAGACCCTTCTTCCAGAAGACAGGCTAGGTCCAGGAAAGCCAGCACCATCCAGCATCACTGGTGCCCAAAATGGTCATCTTTAAACAAACCTGGTTGTTATCCCACTACATGCTAATTATAGGTGCAGTTGATGTTAATTTTAGGTTTAGCATCTATGTGGTGGCTGGGTAGAAAAACAGAGAAATTTGAGGAAGAGAGAAGCATTAAAGCCTAGTACAGTGATTTAGAAAAGACTAGATGAGGACCTGAAATGAGTGGTAGCTATGTAAGAGGAGAGAAGGGATAGATGGGAGAGAGATTGTAGAAGTAGAATTAACAAGAAATGGCACCTGATATGGGAGATGTGGGAGAGGAAAGTTCAAGGTGATTCTGAGGTTGTCAACCTGTGCAAGTTAAAGGATCATGGCACCCTCAGCAGAAATAAGGAAGTTAGAAAAAGGAAAGGAATTTTTTGTGGGGGAAGATAGGGTTCAATTTTAGACAGGTTGGAGTTTTAAATACCTATGGAACAAGGAAGTGGAGATGTCCAGTAGGCACTTGGTAATACAGGACTGGAATTCAGAAAAAAGAGGAGAGCTGAATATAGTGATTAAGTAGTCATATACATAAAGATAATAATTGACTCTTACAAAGAGCTAAGTTCCCCAATGAAATTCTAGAGAGAAAAGAGGGCCCAGGATAAAGTCCTGATGAACCTTGCAAAAGAAGGCAGATCATAGAGATGATGATCCATTAAAGGATACAAAAGACCGATCATTGAGGCAAGAGGAGAATCAGGAGAAAACAGTGCTAGGAAAACTCAGGGAAGAAGGAGTATCTAGGAGGAGGGTGTGGTCAACAGTATCAAACATTGCAGAAAGGTCAAGGACAAGGACTGAGAAAAAGCCAACAGATATCATAATAGAGAGCATTTGTGACATTGGTAAGAAAAGTCTCAGTTGACTTGTGGGTCCAAAAGCCAGTTGTAATAAGCTGAGAACTGAGTGGGAGTTGAGGAAGTAGAGGCAATGAATGTAAATGGTTTTTTTTGTAAAAGTTCAACTGTGTAAAGCGGATACAAACAATATCTTCAGGAGATAAAAAGAATAAAGTTTTTAAAGCAAGAGGGAAGAAACCAGTTGATAAAGAAATTATGAATGTCAGAAGAGGGGAAGATCAAATGGTCAGTCTCCTGAAAGAGAAAGAAGAAACAAAGGCACCAGTAGAGGGGTGGCCCTGTTCAAGAAGAGTGGGCCACTTCTTCCTTGGAGCAAAGGAGGAGAGGTTTGGGGATGATGTTGAAGAGATTTGAAGTATAGCACTGGGGAAAAGAGGGAACTCAAGATGGATGGCCTTAATTTTATCAGTAAAGTATAAGGCGAGGTTATCTGTTATCAAGGATGGGGTGGAATGCATTGCCTGAGAAGGAAAGAGGTTTGGAACAGAACCTTTGGGGATGTCACAACCAATCAGGGAGGAGTAGGATCACTGTGTAGCAGTGAAAGCCCAGTTGAGATTAGATAACATCAATTGGTAGTGGACCCAATCAATGTAGTTTTGTGACAGTCTCTTTTAGCATTCAGTTCCACTTTTTACATCTAAGACCCTGTGTAGAAATTAAAGTTGTACAAATCATATATAATCTATACCCTAAATCTTTTAACTGTACTTTCAACTCCTAATTTATAATTCAGTAGGTAGATCAAAATTAAATCTAATGCAAAAATAACTATAAGACTTGTACTTACCATATTTTTAGTCATTTACTTATGTGTTGGGGTTCTGCACAATACAAGCCCATTGGTATTTGCAAAATCAGATCACTTCCACAGTTATCAATTCTCCATTATATTCAACTGAATGAGTTATAGGCTAAAGCTTATATTGGCATATATAGTCTAAGCATATCTGTGGTATCCTACATCTATAGAAGCCTTGGGATTACATTATATACCTTGCCATCCCCTGGCAAATTCCCTGACCTGAGGAATTACTCCAAGAGCCCAAAAATGGTCCAAATGATGGGATGGGAGAGACCTAACATGTAAGGGAGTTTATGGAAAAAATTTAAACCAGAGGTTCTTCTTAGGCTATATTATACTTGGGTTAGACTCATTATTCAGTGACTGGAAATCATAGAAGAGGTAGTGGGAAATGCTTTCCCTGGTCTATTTCTCATTCCTAGAATGATGTCCTAGAAATTCCTTTCTTGGAAAAGTTTCCAGCCCAATTTAGAAGCAGTTTAGAAGACTTTTTTTTTTTATTGTACTCTAACCCAATCATATCTTACTTTGAGTTTTTCCATTTCAACTAATGGTAAGTCAGCCTCTCCAGGTTTTCTGGCTCTGAAACCCCACTCCCACTAAACACTGTATAAGTAGTGGTTGGAAGGAAGGAGGGAGAGAATGAAATGATGAATCGCTCAAACACAACTTATTGATATCTTTTTCCTTCCATTATTCCAAGGGCACAAAGAAATTTAATTAGTAGCCTTCAAATACCTTCCTAATTGAAACAGAGCACCTACCCAGGGAGTCTGAAAACAACACAGTCACGACCTTATTTTATAAAATACTTTTTACTTTAAAAAGTGGCCACTCTGGGCCAATCTACCAGGGTTTGCACTACACACAATTGTGCCCAGGTTGTGTTCATAAAACTCAACAGTATCAAATACAATGCAAGTGCAGGTTTTACAATGGCATTAAACATTGTAGAAAGTTATGTACAGATTCAACAGGTTCTTTTTCTTCTCCACGTCCTTCAGAGTTTATACATTTTAAACAAACAAGAAGGACAGTGGGCAGGGAGCAGAAGAAAAACAACCTATACAAAAAGCCAAATCTCATTTTTACAGTATATTAACTGAGGATCTTTCATGCAAATTTCTTCTGGTGTGTGGATTTTGACAATGCCCATATTGCACAGGAGACTTGCCAGCAGAGGTGAATGAAGAACACTGAATATCATCATCAGGGAGAAATTAAGAAAAGTCTTGGGAACCAAAATCAATTTCAGTAATACATGGTCTTATCCCACCAGCCTGTAAGGGGACAAAGAGAGTCAATAAGAAATATGGAGCTTGTGGGAGATGTAAAAAAGTAAATGTTCAATAAACCTTAGCAGGGTCTTCCAAATCTGGACCCAAATTCTCCTTCGTTGAGGTTACTTACTTCCTGGGTAGAGCCTGATTAGGAGTTTTCGTAACTCATCATATAGCCAGATGACAATGGCGTATGGAACCGCCGCAAACCAGTACTGAACCCTGGAAATGAAATAGAGCCAAATGCAAGAGTCAAAGTGTTTCAGAAGACAAGAACCAGCCTTTCAGGTAAATGGTGGTGGGGTTATTAACTTCACTGCCTTCTTGGCAACTGCAACAATTTCAGGTGGATTCAAAGTAGAGAAGGATTTTTTCTAAATTGGCCAAAACCAGTTCTTTTCTTTGAAGGCATAATGCAAAACAAGGAATACTCAAAGATGAAGACCATAAAGTGTGTTTTTCTCCTTCAAATCTTTCCAAAGGGAATGTGGATTTGAATTTATTCTCATTTCCTTCAATGGCTTGACCAGGCCTAACCATTTTTTCAGAAAAGGTTTTTGGTCTCCAATCCTCACTACCTTATTTCTGACACAGACATCCTTACGCTACCGCAGCCTGGTCCCCAGCCTGGTCTCCTCAGAATGGTGGCCAGGGCTTTCCCTTCCCACATTAGGGCACATAACTCACCGAAGTGTAGTGAAATTCAGAATTGGGATACTTCCAAATCCACAGGAGAGAATTACTGCTATGATAATTTGAGATGCAATCCCAACCCAGATGTATTTATTTCTGTATGAAGTATAAACAAGAACAGAATTTTAATATGCTTTGTTATTCCTCCTATCTTCCTAGCTTCCCTGTTATTGTAGGGAATTACACCACCAAATTCCTTGTTCCTCAGGCTCCCAACCTGTAGGTCATCTCCTCACTATCTCCTTCTCTGCTGTATCTAATCAGCTGCCAAATTTGTTGATTTCATCCTTGTGACATCGCTTGTATATACTTCCTTCTCTCCTCTGACACTGCCACCACCCTGGTGCAGGTCCTGACCATCTCACGCCTGGACTGTTTTAGTGGCCCAATAATAGGTCTCCCTGCCAAGAGTTCTTCTTAACTTTCTTGCCCTCAATAAATTTCCTATCACATCCAGGAAAAAATAAATACATTGTATGTATATATGTGCGTATATATTAAATATGTATGTATGTATATAAAATTCTAGTTGGGATTCAAAGCCCTTCATAAATCACCTTCACATTTCCCCCTCCCCCACATTTCTTCAGTATTCTTACACCCCACCACATACTACTTTGTGGTCCATTGACACTGGCTTCCTTGCTAAGCCTCATACAAGACACTCCATCTCCCAGCTCTGGGCATTTTCACTGGATATCCCTCAAGCTACCTCTATCTCCTTCTTGCCTTCAAGTCCCAGCTAAAATCCCACCTCCTATAGGAAGCCTTTCCCAATTCCTCTTAATGCTATTACCTTCTCTCTGTCATTTATCTCCAGTTTATACTATATACATTTTGTTTGTATACAATTGTTTGCTTGTTGTCTCTCTTGAGAGCAGAAATATACCTTTGTCTTTCTTTATGGCCCAAAGCTTAGCACACTGTCAGCACACGTAGGGCACTTAAAACGTATTTACTGACTGACTGGTGCCCATCAGGCTAATATGACTCAGAGACATGTCAAACAATCTTTTCCCATGGTAGGTATCTTAACATCAGTCCCTTTGATGAGCCAACAGAATTCAACCCTCTTTGCATGATAAACTGCTGAGAAGTCTAGGTGATACCTGAAGAGACCTTGCCGGAAAATTGAGTTTATCCGAGTCTTTCTGATGATCACATCTGCAATTTGCTGGACCATGACTGCAACAAAGTAAGCAGTGTATCCAGTGCATTCCAAGTACTTCCGCTGATATTTTGTCTGCAAATGATCAAGAAGGGACATAGGTGTGGAAACAGATGGTTACCCAGTTTTCCAAAAAAGGTAACAGTTGAGTAGGAAAGAAAAGATGATGTAATTTATTTTATTTATCCCTATATGTTGTACGTTGCAGCCTAGTTGTTCTTTTGTGTCTGTTACAAAGCTGATGTGTGTCAGCTCTGGAAGACTATTACCAAAAGTCCTGATAAAGGTCAGAGCTATTCAAATAAAATAATTGCCATTTCCATTCTGGAAAATTAGCTACATCTCCATTAGGCACAATTTTACTCTCATGTTCTACTATATTATGTTCTGATAACTCTAGGAATCTAGGATGACCCAGATGATCTCCTCTCTTTCTCCTAAGGAACTGCATACCCCAAGAGCAATCACTTTCCATTCAGAATCAAACTTCCCTCCATGAGGCTCTCATCTCATTGCTGTTTAAAAAAATAACTAGTAAATTTTGTTTTAACAAAAGAAAAATATATGTATATAATTTTATTAATAATAACTAACACTTATGTAGCATTTTAAATGTTATATAATTGGGTTCTCCCAACAACCCAGTCAAGAAGGCACTATTATTATTCCCATTTTATGGATGAAAAAACTAAGGGTCATAGAAGTTAAGTGACTTGCCCAGGGTAACCCAGCTGGTAAGTTTCGGGCAGGATTTTAATTCAGGTCTTCCTGACTCCAGGCCCAGAGCTTTAACTACTGTGCAACCCAAACTCCAAAAATAGCTAAGGAGGTAGTAATCAACATTGTCCACTGTATTTAACCTAAGATCTGGTGATATTCAATGTAGTCTTCATTTACATATCTCAGGGCAATGTGGATAGTTTCAGTCTCTTCTCTTCATTTCCCTCTTTTTTAATGAAGAAAAACAATTAAATGGAGAAAACCAGTACACTGGCTATCTGGCATTCCCTCCTACTGCTTGCCACCTCTCAGCTGAGAAGACAGAAACGTATTTCATCATCAGAGACCATGCCTTGGAGGTTTCAGTCCTTCCATTTCCAAAACTTACTACCATGACTTTACCTTTTTCTCTTCCCTGAAATCTCCTCCACAAATCATCAGTTCCTCAGAGTATTGTCTCCCACCATTAGAATGTAAGAGCCTTAAAGGGCAGGTGCAGATTCTAGTATGTCTATAATAAATGCTTTTCATTAGTCATATTTATATCCCACATACTTAGTACACTGTCTAGTACATAGTCATCACTGAACAAATGCTTGGTGATGTCTTTATTCATTCATTGATTCTAATGAGGTCGTATCACTAGGGCAGTGTAGAGCATGGAATTTCAACATCAATCAGGTCAAATGGGCAATAGAATAGAGAATAGGTGGGGCTAACACTTTTGACCTCCCTTACCCATTCTTGTCCATAACTGTCTTCAAGGTCATTAAGACTATCATTTTCCCATAATGGCCGCAAGTAAAGGAGCCTGTCAGGTTTGAATCCCTGGACTGCATAGACAGTGAAGTAGGCAAAGAAGCCTCCCACAGATTGTAAGATTCCTAGAGGACAAAGGAGATATAGGAACAGATGAGTTCAGGATATCTCTTTCCAATTCTCTCCCACCCATCCAAAAAAAATAAAAAAGCAGTTTCTGATTGCTTTAGGAAACAGAGCCTTAGGAAAGACCTTTGGTACTAAAGTGACAGGTGGGAGTTATACCTCAACATACCAATTTGCAGGTAGGAGTACAAAGCCAGCTGATGATTCGCCAGCCTATCCTTCTTCTTGTGGCGTGGCTTCCGGCTCATGATATCACTCTCAGCTTTCTCATAGGCTAAGGCAATGGAAGGAATCTATAGAGGGGAAAGAAGATGGTGAAACCCAGTCACTTACCATTGCCCTGTAGCTAGAACACAGCCAATTAGTATTTATATAGCAAAGAGAAGATAGAGAGAGAGAGAGAATAAGTGAGCCTTAAGTCTCTGGAAGCAGCTTGACCAAAAACTTTCAAGTCTTCAAACAACAAGATCCATTTACTATTAATTTCAAAAGAAACAGACCTCTAACCATGCCAAAATATGTGAGCAGCCCAGTATATTACTATCAGTAGAGAAGAAAGGGAGGAAGGTTGGCAAGGGGCTGGCAAGGGCTATTTCCCTTCCTTTGTCTCTGCTTTCTGTTACCCACTTAACATTTATTCATGTTTTCCAAAGTCACATGAATAATGTACCCTCAATGATGTTGGTTATTCTTCAGTTATTCGGAATTGTCTGTTGTAGATTTAGAGAACCTGGGTTGGTACCACCTCAAAGTACTTGGTATGCCCTTGCAAATCATTGGACCCCATTTTCCTTATCTATATAATGAAGAGGCTGAACTGGATGACTTCTAATCTCCCACCTCTAGATCTCTGATCCTATGAATTAATTTGGTGGATCCCAGATGCAGAGACAATTAAGGAAATTACACTGGCCTATACTCAGCATTTTGTTACTAGACCTGAAGATTCCTGAAAATGTGAATGATGCTATTCTTCCTGTTTTCTGCTCATTTACTCCATCCACTAATCTCCATTATACTTCCTTTAACAAGTGGCCCCCTCCTTGATGGAGGGAAGATTTAGTTAAACTGCCACATGTAAAGGCAATATTTTAATCTTAGGAGTTTTAAGACATCTTAGGTGAACACAATAACTATCCTTTACTGAATTAATAGAGCCTTGGATTAGTTAGGGGGCTATATCCTACAATGTTTCTTGGACCTGTTAAAACTGTTTGGGCCCCTAAACACTTTGCAGACTTTTTTGGTGGTAGCTTCACCTGTGATCCTTGATCATTGTCCCAGTTCAGGGATAAGGAACCTGAGAAATAAGCACTGTACACATTCTGGGAAAGTTAAGGTAAATGAAATCATTTGGAAAGCTCAGTTCAAGAGAGTGTCGATTTTATTACCAATCTCTTGACAAGTTAATTAAATCTCTTCAGGGGACCAGAAGGAAAAAAAAATGGTCCCAAAAGTTTTTAGTACTTGATATAATATTTATTTGATTCCCTAGTTCCTCAGTTATCTACTTACAACATCAGTGCCTAAGTCGATGAACAAGATGGCCATGGTACCGATGGGCAGGGGCACCCCAGCTATAATGAAGATCAGGAAAGGGATAAGCTCTGCAATGTTTTTGGTCAGGGTGAATGCAATGATTTTCTTCAGATTGTCAAAGATTAGGCGACCTATGAAGAGAATGTTCTCATCAGAAAGATAGCCTTCAAACTACCAGGTTAAATCAGCCCTCTATAAGGGCACATTTAAGATGTCCTTTCTATGGAAGGGACCTTACTTACCTTCCTCTATACCTGTCACTATAGAGGAAAAGTTGTCATCTAGTAAGACCATGTCTGCTGCATTTTTTGCTGCATCAGAGCCTACACAACCCATAGCAATCCCAATATCAGCCTTCTTCAGGGCTGGGGAATCATTAACACCATCCCCTGTCACTGCAACAACAGCATCCTGGAAGAACAAAGTAGGATTTAAACTTTTAACTTTAAATCCAGAAACTTCAAGAAGTAGCCAAGTTTGGAGTATTGATCAAAATAATAGCCTCCATCTGCTCTGGAAATTAGAAAGACACTGTGTTCTGCAAGAGTCCATTTGTTTTGGGAGGGAGGGTTATGTTGCCTTGTGGCATAAAGAATAAGAGTAATAAGTCCCCAAGCAAGACCTTTTTAAATGAATGAAGATGAAAGATAAGATGGCAGAGCACAGAGACGGGTATTGCTCCAGGTTTCCTAATAAAATATTGACCATAGGGTCACATTCTTTCCTTAGTTATCTCCACAGCTAGGGCCAGCTAAACTAATCCACTCAACAGAGAAGTCATAATTAGAGAATGACAAATAGATAGGCCACCATCTTCTTCAAACTGTAACAGAGGTTTCACTCATTCAAGCTAAGACCATGGTACATGAATATAATGGTAAATACTATTGTGCTGTAAGAAATAACGAAAGGGACCATTTCAGAGAACCCTGGAAAGATTTTGATGAGCTGATGCAGACTGAAGAAATCAGAACCAGAATAATTTGTACATTAATAACATTCTTAAGACAAACTAACATTGGATGATGTCGTTAACACAATGATCAACCACTATTCCAGTGGACTGATGATGAAACATGCTACCCATCTCCTGGCAGAGAGGTAAAGTCAAGGACCAGAATAAGACATTTTTTGGACATGGCCAGTGAGGGAATCTGCTTTGTCTGATGATACATATTTTATGAAGGTTTTGTTTTTTTCTTTTCTCTTTTTTTCCCCAATGAGGGAAGAATTATTTTTTGTTAGTTGAAAAAAACTTGAATATAAGCTCCTTAAGGGATTGTTTTGTCATTGTATTTCCAATACCTAGCACACTGCCAAGAACAAAATAATGCTTAATGAATACTTGAGAAATTGAATTGAATTTCCTTGAAAGAACTAGCCATTTCTTTTCCTGAGCCTTGCGAAGGAACCATAGCTGCGTTTTGGAAAAGAGCCTTCTGTTATGACAAGGCTTCCCCTCAGGCTCAATGACAGTCTGAAGGTATCTGACTCAGATTCACTAGAGTACCTGTCAGTCAATCAGTCAATAAACATTTATTAAGCACCTACTGCATGCCAGGCACAGTATTGAGCTCTTCCTCCCCAATGACTCACCTGTCTCTGACAGCCCTCCACAATGATCAGCTTCTGCTGGGGAGATGTTCTTGCAAAGACAATTTCAGTGTGGTAGGTCAGGAGCTCATCCAGCTCCTCTGGGCTCATCTCCTTCAGCTCCATTCCACTGACCACAGCTGCCTTTGCCTCTCTAGAAGGGCCAAAGCAAAACCGAGTAAGGAAAAAGGACAGCTCTGATGCTGAAGGACCCTCCTTGATCAAGGGAGCCCTGTAGGTAACAACACTCTGAATAGGACTAGCCCGTCAATTCTTCACTAATGCTCCCAATACTATTGCAAAATAGAGAAGCCTAGCTCAGTAATAGGCTTTGCCATCCCCATTCAAGATGAGGAAGCAGAGGCTAGCAGGAGAGCAAATGGAATAAATAACACTAAGTCCCCTCCCCTTACAGAGGGGACCCCAAAAGGACTGGTAGTGAGAAGCAATGACTGGCTGCTCCCTGTGTCTGCAATGCCCTCCCTTAGTATTATCCTCTGACTGTTGAATTCCTGTTTGTCCTTTAAAACCCAATTCAACATTTTGCCTCATCAATGAAGCCTTCCCTGCTTTTCCCAGCTGGGGAAAACAACTATTTCCTTTTTTGAACCACCTAGCACTTTGCTTGCTTCTTCCTTAAGTGTGTATTATTTTGTATTCAATTCAATAAATAAATGTTTATTAAATGCCTATTGCACATTAGAGTCTATGCTTGGCACTAGGATACAAAGGCAAAATAGACCCTGACCTCAAAGAGTTTACATTCTACTGAAGGAGGCAATGAAGATGTACGTGAATAAATATAGTCATTTCAGGGGGATGTGAGAGAGCACAATCAACTAGAGAGACCAGAAAAGGATCCCCAGGGCAGGCACCTGAGCTGAATCTTGAACGAAGTCAGGAATTCTAAGTTAATGCACAGGTAAGAAGGTAAGACATTTTAGGTATGGGAAACAACCTATACAAAGGTAGAGAGATGAATTCAGGAGCAGCTGACAGGCTAGTCTGACTGAATGCAGCATGCATGAAGGGAAAAGAAATGGGAGACAGATTGGGAAGGACCTTAAATGCCAGGGGAGGATGCGTATTTTAACCTAGAGGCCACTGGAGATTTTTAAGTAGCCATTGACATGGGTCATTCCCATGTCTTAGGGAGATTAATTTGGCAAATGTGTGGAGAGCTTTCTGTTTTGTCATCAAAAAGATGAGCAGAAGGCTTTGATACTTTTGTTTGGGACTGCACACAACTAACCGCTGATCTAACAAATATTTGACAAATATCAGATACACTTTAATATTATAAAGTATACCACAAATTCATGTTGGAATGGGTCAGAAAGGAACTTGTTTGAATTATAGTTCTGTTACGTCCTTCCCTAATGACCTTGGGTTCATTTCTCCCCACTTAGGCATCAGTTCAGTTACCTTACCAATAAAATGGAGGTGTGTGGATTACACAAAGGATTCTTTACCCTCATTTTGTCATTGACCTCTTTGGCAGTCTGGTAAAACCTAGGAATCTCTTCTTATAATACTGATTTTAAATGCATAAAACAAAATGTATAAGATCACAAAGGAAACCAAGTATATTGAAATTTAGTTATAAAAATTTTTTTTTAAAAATTCATGGACCCCAGGTTAAGAACACCTGGACTAGATGGGCCTTCTCTAATGTCTCTTCCAGTTCTAACTTTTTCAATTCCAATGTAGAGCTAAAATTGGATCAAGAATAATATTTTTTTTACTTATAGCAGCTCTTTTTGTGGTGGCTAAGAATTGCAAATCAAAAGGATGCCCATCAATTTGGAAATGGCTAAACAAGCTGTGGTATATGATAATAATGGAATATTATTGTGCTAAAAGAAATGACAAGCAGGATAATTTCAGAAAAAACTGGAAATACTTACATGAACTGATGCAAAGTGAAGTGAACAGAACCAGGAGAACATTATACATAGTAATAGCAATATTGTATGATGAAGAACTATGAATAAATTAGCTATTCTCGGTAATACAATGATCCAAGTCCAAAGGACTAATGATTAAGCATACTAGCCGCCTCTAGAGAAAGAACTAATATTGTTCCAATACAGACTGATTGTGCTATTTTTCATTTTCTTTCTTTAATTCTTTTATTTTTATTTGAGTCTTCTTGTACAAAATGGAAATGTTTTACATAATTACACTTGTATAACCTATATCTGATTGCTTACTATTTCAGGGAGAGGGGAGGAGAAATAAGGAAAGAAGGATGGAATTTGCAACTCAAAAATTTTTTTTAAAGTTTAAAAATTGTTTTAACATGTAATTTGGAAATATATACATATATATATTTATATGTATACATATTTTTTTCTTAAAAGAACACCATTTTTGGTGGTTTTCCTGAACTCTTTAGTGGAAAGACAATTGTGTGTGTATGTGTATGTGTAAGCATATGTGTAGATGTATGTATAAGCATATGTGTAGGTGTATGTAAATGTGTATTTAAAGAAATGATACGGCAGCAGTCTAAGAGGCTGTGGGCCAAAAAGTAGTTGCCTAACACCAAAGCTCTTTGGAAACAAAGAGATGGGCAAGAGTTGCATGAGCATTGCTCTTACCTTTTGTTAACTTGTTCTACAGGAATTTTAAGACGTTTTGCTATTTCTTCCACAGTCTCACTATTGGCTGAAATGATGCCCACACTTCTAGCAATAGCTTTGGCTGTGATGGGATGATCACCTGTCACCATGATAACCTAAAATGAGGAGACACAGATATAACCAATGAGAAGCAGGCCTAGCAAAAGCAGAGGAACAAGTGAGCATGACTGCTCTTGCCTGAGGCAAGATAACAGAATTGCTCTTTGGTGGACTTTTGCTTGAGATGTGTATCTTTTCTCCCCCTGAAAAAGTCTGGCACCAATAGATTTCCCTGATTCTGAAGAAGGGAGCCTTTATTATTTGGTGTAGTTCTTATCCAACATTCTGGGGAAAAGGGATTTATGGGACAGCCTTAGATTTTTTTTAAATAATATATAAAGTAGAATTACATAATCTACTTTAAAAGATTACAAAGATAAAAGGAGTTAGAAAAATACTTCAAAATAGACCTTACCTTTATACAGTACATTGTGGCTTAAAAGGTCATTGTTTCTATACAACAATAACAATCGTTTACATTTATATAGAATTTCAAGGTTTGCAAAGTACTCTATCTTCTTTTTTTAGATGAGGAAACAGAAGGTCAGGGAGGTTAAGTGATTTGCCCAAAATTAAGGAGTTTATAAGTGGAAGAGCTGGGAAGAGAGTCCTATGCCATATTGGCCATTTTTTTAGATACTCTTTTTTTTGTCTTTTCATTACTTGTCATAGTTCATGGGGAAAACATAATGGGATTAAATAAGATAATATATGTAAAGACTTTGCAAACCACACAACTGCTCTATTCAGCTATTCCTTTGGCTCTCTCCATCGTACCAGACTCAAGGATTGGAGTGTTAGACTAAACAGTAACTATATTGAGAAGAAACTTCTCTACAGAATTCCAATAAACCAATGTTCCAATAACCAATAAAAACCCAACATTGTAAACATAAAAGGAATAGGAGGTGAGGCTGGACCAGTAATTTCATTGATGAGGAAATGCCCTCTACCATTGCAGATTGGCACCTTTTCAGCAACTCTCAGAGAGCTGTGTAGAGCACTGGGAGGTTATCAGTGTCCTGTCCAGGATCTCTTAGCCAGCACGTGTCAGGGGAATATTGAGTCTGTCATGTGTGAGAGGGACTTAAACCCAGGTCTTCCTGGTCCTGAAACCAGCTCTCTATCCATTCTTTCATGATGCCTCTCAAATGAAAAATGGAAATAGAAAATACATGGGATTGATAGAAAGAAGTTTATTATGAAATGAAACTTTCTCAGAGGAACTTTAGCACCTATGAAAGACCGCAAGAGGTAGGAAAAAAGAACTCTACCTTGATACCAGCACTGCGGCATTTCATGACTGCATCAGGGACAGTGGATCGAGGGGGATCAATCAGTGATATCAGCCCCACAAAGCAGAGGTCAGACGTGGGAAAGTTCATGGACTCTACATCAAAGGAATAGGTATCTGGAAACTCATCTTCTGGCAAGTAGAGATGACAGAAACCTGGAATAGACGCACATGAAGCATATTGAAGCTTCAAAGTTCTTTTCTTGAATGGAAACTTGAGTCCCTTCCTTGCATCTTCCACAGAAAAGGTGCAGTAGATATTTTAGGAAAGGAATCTTAGGGAAAGAACAGAATCCTCTGCTTTTGACAATGATTAGCAATTAGGATATTATAAAGGCCATTCTAGAATCAAATTCAAAATTAGGTTAAAGAAGCTGAAAAAGACCTTACATGCATGCCAACTAATCCAACCTCCTCAGCTTTACTCATAAGGAAACTGAGGCCTGGACTTGAAAGTTCAGCTAAGAAAGCTCCTAAAATCCACCCTAGTTGGGTTAAATAGATCTCCCCATTTTCCAGAAGCTACAATTTTTTAAAACTTTCTATCATGTCTTCCTTCCCCAGGCTCATCATTAAGAAATCTCATAATGCTGCAAGACTGGATCTACCTGGTACATCTCAGTACCCTAGCTTTTCTCATTGGACCCTATGACCAGATGTCAGGGACATGAGTTTTAAGGTATTAAAATTTTGTTGGGCAAAAAAAATGGGAAATTTCTTTCCTGGGAATCCCCATTGCTGATAAATAGCTCCAAACTATTAAAAAAAAAAAAGATTTTTAAAAAGCATAGACCATCCTTTCAAGGATCCATGAATTTATTGGTAGTTTCTGCATTAGAGAATAGGAGACCATTAATAAAATCAGGGATCCTTGAAGCATTTTTGTGAGTATGTTTAAGCATTAAGTATGCTTTTCTTTCCTCCACACACCTTCCAATGTCTTTTTAGAAACATATATCCCATTGATTCATTTCCTTCCCTTAGTATAACCTTCCACTGTTTTTAGTAAACTTGTCCATTTTCTCAACTTCAGTCCTTTGTCTAGTAATGCCTAGTGGCCCCTTCTCTCAGGCCAACTCACCCAGCACTCTCTCCCCTAAGCTCCCCAGCTCCATGTATGCCGTCTGGAAGGCCGCTGCTGTGCTTTCATCAAGAGGTTGCTCCTGGCCATGCATCATGATGGTGCTGCATTTCTCCATGATCCTCTCAGGGGCTCCTTTCATCACCAAGAGGAAGCGCTTGTCATCGGGGTCTTCTGTCTCATGAATGGACAGCTGGGAGGAAGGAATGAAGTGAATGTGTTAAATGGGACATGTCACTATTACTGTCACTTCTAAGAGGCCTGAAGAGCTCCTCCACAACTAGCCACATGCCAGGAGAAGGAAAGTCATCTCTTACTCTTTTTATTGATGCCCTTGGTGGGCATTGATGGGATCAAGGAGCCAGAGCTGGAAGAGACCTTAAAGACCCTATGGTCCAGGCTCCCCATTTTATAGATGAAAGACCTGAAGCCCAGGGAGGCTAAATGACTTGCCTCACTTGGGCCACATGGGGAGTAAATGGCAGAAGTAAGATTTGAATCCAAGACTTCTCCCTCCACAGTCAGGGTTCCTTCTGTTGTGATGTGCTATTCAAACCCACAGAGATCTCCAAGATCCCTTGGTGTCTCCCCCTAGAAAAGGAGACTCAAACTTGGCCCCACCTTAAAGCTGCAGCCTGGGCTTTCATAGGAGAAACCAACAGCCCCAAACTGCAGCAGTGCCTCTCTCTAAAGAGGAAGAGAGGTCCTTTCAGATGGTGGCACAAATTCCCCTGAATGTCATGCCCAGGGCAGGATTATCTACTGCAGGTTTCATAGCAGCAGGAATCATCTACTTCTGTGATCCCTTTCACTCTTCCAGGTTTCAGTCTATTATTACAGTTCATGGCTAGATAGAGACTGGGCAGGAGGCCCATAGTCTCAACATTAGGGCTGGACAGGGTTTCTTGGTGGCGCAGGAAACTGAGACCAGCAAATTTTCCCTATGCTTCTACCCATCTATGAAATGACCTGCACACTGATTTATTTGTTCTAGTCTCATAATTATTCCACCAGGGCCTCTTAAACATTAACCAAATTACAGAGTCTTGTCAAGAGAGGTGACATTAAAAAAAAAAATTCCAGGAACCCAGAAACTTAAATTCCATTAGTTTTCAACATAGTTGCATTCACCTGAGGCTCTTTCTCTCATGTCAGTCCACTGTCAATGAAGAGAATCTTACATACACATATTCTTTCTGACAGGAACTGGGAAAATTGTACCCCCATGGTAACCATCAAACTTCATTTAATTAAGTATCTTTTAGGAGATCGAAGAGGACGTGTATGTTTGTGTGAGGTGATAGCTAGGGGTGGGGGAGGAGTGGTGGGAAAGGTATTTTTACTTCATGGCCCAAATCCACTTTGCTCCAGACTGAGCAAGATGGCCAGCAGGGAAATTTATAATGCTAAATAGGCTTCTCTCTCACACTACCAGCTAATACTTCAGCCTCTGAAGAGTGATTTTCATTCCCATCCCAATTTTCATTCTTATCTCCATGAAGGATTTAGAAACAATAGGCCTTTAGACACTCCTACACTCCTGAAGTGAAAGTAGCAATTGCTGCTAGGCTGATTTCCTGAGATATGGGCAAAAAAGACCCCACAGGACCCCAGTACCTCAACTACATGGAATGAAATCTAGAACCTTCTTGGTTTGCCCACCTACTATCAGAAAGGACATTTATTTGTCTCCATCTAATGTGATGGAAGCTTAACTTCTTGATTGATTTTTGCAAGGAGGCAGTCCCTTTGGGAGTGAACATTCTTTTGTCACTCATCTTGACTTTTATCCTGTTACCAGATTTCACTCAGGAAGAGAGAGTGAGGCTGACGACTTTGTGCAAATCTGCCTTACTTAAATCCAATTCATGCACAAGTCAAGACATTACCTGTGATGTCATCGGTTCTCTTCAAAAATGAAGGACAGCTTCTGGTGCCAAGACAGTGGAATGAGGAAGGAGCCCTCTGAAGCCCTCCCAAATTCCCCTCTAAACAACTAGAAAACTGCCTCAGAATTGGTCTAGGGGCAGGGAAGTAGCTTACTAGCCCAGCAGGAAAGGTCTGTCTCACTGGGATGGAAGGGGAGTGAGGTCCAAGAGCAGCAGCAGAAGCCAACCTCACAACAGGGGACCTGCAGCAAGGCTCCCAGCCTGGGGTAATCCACCAGTGAAATCCCACCCTCCTGCAAGTCAGCAGCCCCCTATGCAAGTGAGCAGTCTGTGCAGTACAGCAAGGCCCTGCCTGAACAACCCTACATCCAGCACAAGCCACCAGCAAGGCCTTGACCCATTGCTGATGAGTAATGAAGCCCTGCCCCAGGGCTGGCCAACAATGAGACCCCACCCATGGAGCCTACCAGCAGAGAAATCTTGTTTCCATAGCAACCAGCAGCAGGGCCCCAACCCTTGGGCAGACCAGTGGCTAAACCCCATATCCAGGGGAGGCCAACGGGGAGGCCCTACCCCTCCAGTACAAGCCAGAAGAGAAGTCTACCCTCCAGAGGAAGCCCAGTGAAAGACAGTAGTAAGACCCATAGCCCCAGCACAAAAAGCTTGGGACAGTGCCAGACCAGAAATCAACTCTCACATAAAAAGACCCAAGTCACAAAAAAGGCAGAAAAAATGAGCAAAAAGCAAAAAAAAGAGCTCAACTACGGAAAGTCACTACGGTGATAGGGTGGATCAAGGCATAAACTTAGGAGAGGGCAATAGTGTTAAAATGGCTACATGTGAAGCCTCAAAGAAAAATGTAATTTGGTCTGAGGTCCCAAAAAAAATTCCCAGAAGAGCTTAAAAAGGATTTAATAAAGCAAATTATAGAAGTAGAAGGAAAAAATGGGAAAAGAAATGAGAGTATTGCAAGAGAGTCATGAAAAAAGAGTCAATAAGATGGGAAAAGATATACAAAAATTTATTGAGGAAAATATCTCCCTAAAAAATAAAATTGTCCAAATGGAAAAGGAAGTATAAAAGCTTACTGAAGAAAATAATTCCCTAAAAATTAGAATTGAATGAGTGGAAACGAGTGGAAATGACTCTATGAGACATCAATATATGATAAAACAAAATCAAATAGCAAAAAAAAAAAATTGAAGAAAACAGAAATTTGTCATTGGAAAAACAACTGACCTAGAAAATAGATCCAGGAGGGATAATAAAAGAATTATTGGACTAGCTGAAAGCTATGATAATTTTTTTAAGGCTCTTTCAAGAAATTATCAAAGAAAACTGCCCTGATATATTAGAACCATAGGGCAAAATAGAAATTGAAAGAATCCACTGATCAACACCTGAAAGAGATCCTACAATGAATACTCCCAGGAACATCATAGCCAAATTCCAGAGCTCACATCAAGGAGAAAGTATTCCAAGCAGCCAAAAAAAAAAAAAAACCAATTCAAATATCATGCAGTTACAGTCAGGATTACACAGGATTTGGCAGCTCCCACATTAAAGAATCAGAGGGCTTGGAATATGATATACCAGAAGGTAAAGGAATTAGGATTACAACCAAGAATCACCTGACCTACAAAATTTAATTCTTTCAGGCAAAAAAAAAATGGACATTTAATGAAATGGAAGACTTTTAAGTATTTCTAATTAAAAGACCAGAGCTGAATAAGAAATTTGACCTCCAAATACAAGAAAGAATAAAACCAAATTACTAGTATCAAAAGTGAAAGGGGTTAATTCACCACCAATGAAGAAAAAATTAAAACATTGTTAAGAGCTATTTTGCTGAATTATATGCCAATAAATTTTAAAATCTAAATGAAATAGATGAATATACACAAAAATATTTATTACCCAGATTACAAAAGAAATAAAATACTTAACCCAATTTTAAAAAAAGAAATTGAAGAAGCCATCATTGAACTTCCTAAGAAAAAATTCCCAACACCAGATGGATTCATAAATTAATTCTACCAAGCATTTAAAGAACAATTGATCCCAATGCTATATAAATTATCTGGAAAAATAGGCAAAGAAGGAGTACTACCAAATTCTTTTTATGACACAAAAATGGTGCTGATACCCAAACCAGGAAGAGAGAAAACAGAGAAAGAAAAGTGTAGACCAATTTGCCTGATGAATATTGATGCAAAAATTTTAAATAAAATACTAGCAAAGATGTAACAGTAATATATCACAAGGGTCATACACTATGACCAGGTGAGATTTATACCAGGAATACAGGGCTGATTCAGTATTAGGAAAACAATCAGCATAATTGACCATATCAATAATAAAACCAACAGAAATTATATGCTTATCTCAATAGACACAGAAAAAGCCTTGACAAAATACAGCACCCATTCCTATTAAAAAGAGTAGAGAGCATAGGAATAAATGACTCTTACCTTCAAATGATAAGTAATATGTATCTAAAACCATCAGCAAGCATTATCTGTAATGGGGATAAGCTAGAAACTTTCCCAATGCTATTAAGGGTAAAGCAAGGATGCCCATTATCACCACTATTATTTAATATTGTACTATAAATGTTAGCTACAGCAATAAGAGAAGACAAAGAAATTAAAGGAATTAGAATAGGCAATGAGGAAACAAAACTATCACTCTTTGCAGATGATATGAAGGCATACTTAGAAAATCCAAGAGAATCAACTAAAAAAACTTCTTGGAAATTATTAACAACTTCAGCAAAATTGCAGGATACAAAATAAATCCACATAAATCATCAGCATTTCTAGATATTACCAACAAAGTCTAGCAGCAAGAGATAGAAAGAGAAATTCCATTTAAAATAAGTGCAGATAGTATAAAATATTTGGGAGCTTACCTACAAACCCAGGAACCATATGAATACAGTTATAAATCACTTTTCACACAAATGAATCAGAATAAACAATTGGAAAAATATTAATTTCTCATGGGTAGATCAAGCCAATGTAATAAAAATGACAAATTCTACCTAAATTAATCTATTTATATGTCAATCAAGCTATCAAAAATTTATTTTATAGCACTAGAAAAATAATAACAAAATTCATCTGGAAGAACAAAAGCTCAAATATATCAAGGGAATCAATGAAAAAAAAGGTAAAAAAAAAGGTGGTATAGTCATACCAGATCTCAAACTGTATTATAAAATGGTAACTTTTAAAAATAATCTGGTACTGGCTAAGAAATAGAATGGTGGATCAGTGGAATAGATTAGGTACAAATTACATTATGGTTAGTGACCATAGTAATCTAGTATATAATAAACTCAAAGATCCAGGCTTTTCAAACAAAAACTCATTATTTGACAAAAACTGCTAGAAAAACTGGAAAATGGGAGGCAGAAACTATGTATAGACGAACATCTCACATCATCTAATAAGATAAGGTCAAAATGGTTACATTATTTACACACAAAGGGTGATGCCATAAGCAAATTAAGAGAGCATGAAATAGTTTATCTGTCAGATTTATGGATAAGGGAAGAATTTAGCACCAAAGAAAATATAGAAAGTATTACAAAAGGTAAAATAGAAAATTTTGATTATATAAAATTAATTTTTTTTGCACAAACAAAACCAATGCAACCAAAATTATAAGGAAAGCAGAAAAGGGGGAAATTGCAACAAATATCTCTGAAAATGACCTTGTTTTTCAGCTATTTAGAGAATGAGTCAAATTTGTAAAAATGCAGGTCATACCCCAATTGATAAATGGTCAAAGGATGTGAACAAGCAATTTTCAGACAAAGAAATAAAAGCTATCTATAGTCATATGAAAAAATGCTCTGAATCACTATCAATCAGAGAAATGCAAATTGGAACAACTCAGTTAAACACCTCAGACCTATCAGAGTGTCTAACATGACAAAAAAGGAAAATGTTGAATGTTGGAGGTAATGCGGGAAAACTGGGACACTAATGTACTGTTGGTAGAGTTGTGAACTGATACAACCATTCTGGAGAACAATTTGGAACTGTGAATACCCTTTGATTCAGCAATAGTACTGCTATATCTATATCCCAAGGACATCCAAAAAAAGGGAAAAGGACCTATTTTTGTTTTTGGTTTTTGTTTTGTTTTTTGGGGGGTTTTTTGTTTGTTTGTTTTGGTGAGGCAATTGGGGTTAAGTGACTTGCCCAGGGTCACACAAGCTAGTAAGTGTGAAGTGTCTAGTCTGAGGCCAGATTTGAAGTCAGGTACTCCTCACTCCAGGCCCGGTGCTCTATTCACTGTGCCACCTAACTGCTCCCAAGGACCTATTTTTACAAAAGTATTTACAGCAGCTCTTTTTGTGGTTGCTAAGAATTGGAAATCAAAGGGATGCCCATTGATTGGGGAATGGCTAAACAAGCTGTAGTTTATGATTGAATGAAATATTATTGTGCTATAAGAAATGACAAGCAGGATGATTTCAGAAAAACCTGGAAAGACTTACATGAACTTATGCATAGTGAAGTGAACAGAACCAGGAGAACGTTGTACACAGTAACAGCAATACTGTTCAATGAAGAACTATGGATGACTTAGCTATTCTCAGCAATACAATGATCCAAGACAATCCCGAAGAACTAATGATGAAGCATACTATCCATCTCCAGAGAAAGAATTGATACTGATTGAATACAGACTGAAGCATGCTGTTTTTCACTTTCTTTCTCTCATTTTTTTCTTTTATTCAAGTCTTCTTGTACAAAATGACTAATAAGGAAATGTTTTACATAAGTACATATGTTCAACCTATATCTGATTGCTTACCATCTCAGGAAAGGGAGGGCAGAACCCAAGAAGTTAAAGAAGTGAGTGACACAATTATGGGAGGTGGGGATGGGGGGTACAGAGGAAGGCATTTACAGTCACCCTGTGGATATAAGAAATAAAAGGAAGAGTCAAAGGAAACTCTAAACTTTGGGCTTGGACAAGATAGAACTTGGAACTCAAAACTTTAAATAATAATGTTTAAAAATTAGGGGGAGAGGGGAATGAAAGACAAACAACTCCTTTAGTGCCTCCGATAGTAACTAGGGAACAAAAACTTAGACACCAAACCCTTCAGCACCAGAAACTAAGACAGTAGCCAGGAATGGATTTTTTTCAGGGAGACCCACATCCTAGCTTCTCTAGACTCAGCCTCCTTTACCTACTGTGCTTCTGGGAAAACAATAGCCCAAAGTAGCCCAGGCTCTGCACCTGTGGAGACTTTTCATAACCGCAGATAAGAATGCCACTGGGCTAAGAAATAAGATTCCTGGTCATGAGGAAAAACCTACCTGGAATTTGTTGAAGGAATTAAAAGGGATTTCAGCCACTTTTCTGTTTCTTTTTCTTCTTTCTATTACATCACCCATGATGACTTCTGAGAACTTCAGGAGGGCAGCTTCTGAAGCATCTCCCATCACTACTTTCTGGAAATTTTTTTTCAAAAATAGAATAAAACAAATTAAATTATAATCACAGTCTGGCTCTTCCATGGCTTTTAAAATTAACCTATATTTTTGAATACCCGCTTTGTGCTTAGATGCTATAGGTAATAAGGAGAGGAGGAAAGATGTTTGCCCTCAAAGAGTTTATCATCTAAATGAAAACAGAAGATAAATGAATAATACAAAACAATAGGATTAAGCTTTGAAACTGCATTGTTTAGACAATAAATAAGTTTAAAGAAAGATGAGATCACTAAGGGCCAGAGCAGTTAGGGTAGGGAGATTTTTTTTCCCATGGATCATTTGAGCTAGGCCTACAAACATCAGAAAAGAGGAGAAATGGAAAAAATTTTTAAAAGGGAAAAATATAAATGAATCCTGAAGAAAAAAAAATGAGGCTAGCATATTGTCAATCAAGATAGTAATGAAACAGTCCTAATTAAAGCTAGGAAACAGGGGGGAAACAAATTTGGATAGGGCAGGGTGGGGCATGTTAAAGAGGGGCTTGAAAACCAGACAGAATCTTGATAATATAATGGACTAATGAAGCATTGAAGAGTAAACAGAAGAGTAAGATGAAAAAATAAGGTGTTAAAGCCTGGCAGTGGGATGTAGGAAGAATTAGAACAGCATGAAACTAAGATTCAGCAGCCCAATTAGGTGACTGCTCAAGTAGTCTAGGAAAAGGTTGGTGAGGGCAGAACCCAAGAAATTAAAGAAGTGAGTGACACAGTTATGGGAGCCGGGAGTGGGGGGTACAGAGGAAGGCATTTACAGTCACCCTGTGGATATAAGAAATAAAAGAAAGAGTCAAAGGAAACTCCAAACTTTGGGCTTGGACAACAGGAAGAATGTGTCATTAATAGACAAGAAAACTAGGAGAGGACACTGACTTGTGGAGTTTGGGGAGAGCAAGATGGCATGGCAAGGAGTATTCCAGCTCCCTGACCTCAACCAGAGAGCCAAAGAGAATGAGTGAAGGGTGGCCAGGAAGTCTGTGTCATCAGGAGAAAGCTAGATTACAGTAAGAGCTACGAAATGGAAGGAATAGGAGAGGAGTAGATTTAAGATGAAGGTAAGTTTGTTATCTATTGAACAGGCATTCCAGAGGGTACCTTGGAAAAGATGGAGTTAGGATAGAACTTTGAGGAGGGGAAAGAGAATGAGGAGTGAGGTGGTAGGAGGTGTTGAGTGGAGTTTGGATAATGACCTACTGGAGTTCAGAGATAAGCATAAAGAGTTGAAGAGATAAGTTGAAGAGGTGAACAGAAGACCAAGAAGGAAATATGTTCTATGAAGACACATTTACTTGTGTCCCTGTTCAAGAAGCTTAATCAGCTCCCTGTTGACTTCTAGGATCAAATGCAAACTCTCCTATTTGGCAATAAAGCCCTTCATAATCTGGCTCTGAAACCTATCTATCCTTTCTGCTAGTTACACATTACTACCCTTAGCAGTCACAGGTGCCAAATTAGACTGCTTCCTACTCCCCTTAAGCAGCATTCTATCTCCCATGTTCTCACCGTTGCACTGGCCATCTGTCTCATATGCTGAGACCCACTTTTTCCTCAACTCTGCCTTTTGTTACTCTTTGCTCCCTGCAATTGTGCTTGGGCTGCAATTTTCAGCCCACGCACAACTCATAACACAGCTCATTACCTCTGTGTATATAGTTTTCCTCCAGTAGAATGTGAGCTCCTAAAGGCCAGTGACTATTTGTCTGGTTACTCTAGTGCCTAGCACATAGTAAGTGCTTAATCAGTGCTGAATTCAATGACTTAAATGAGTTGAGTCTTGGAGGAACGAATAGGATTAATTTACAAAGTTTCAGCACTAGAGAATAAGATCATAAAATTTCCTTCAACATGGTATTGAAGGAACCCCAATGAATTGCAGCCTTGTTCAAACTACTACAATACACTACCTGAAGTTAGTATTTTAAGACCTCCACTTTTTCCTATGACTCTACAAAGCAAAGTAGAATGAAGCCAAGATACTACTTTGTTACTTGGCTACAAGACACATTGGCAATTCAAACTTGCTCTTATGTGCACTAACCACTCTCATCTCCTTAAGTGGCAGTACAGCAGAAGGGGATGGAAGACAGCAAGATGACCTGGAGATTGGCTTTGATGTCACACCCAGATGAGCAGAAGCCCTACCTTCATGATGGGGACACTTTCCTGGCTTGGTGCAAACTCAGCTCGGTTGCACAGTGTTACAATCTTGGATAAGGAGGCCCAGGTTGCAGAACTTTGGTCAAATATCTGGTCTGGAAAGCAAGAGAAAAAAATGATGTAGCACATAGAAGACTGCTGTGGGAGAGGAGAGCGAGTTTGTATCCACAAGGTCCAAACAGATCTCAGAAACAGCCTGCTCACCCTGTCAGGGTTAGGGTTAACTTCCCTGCTCAGTTACACATCCCTAAGATTGCTTCCAAAGCCTCACCTTTCTGATCTTCACTTGTATCAGCCTGATAAACTTGGTTGTCAAACCACAGATGGGCCACAGTCATTCTGTTTTGTGTTAAGGTCCCAGTCTTGTCAGAGCAGATGATGGAGGTGGAGCCCAGAGTTTCCACTGCTTCCAGGTTCTTCACCAGACAGTTCTTCTTGGCCATCCGTTTTGCTGTCAGGGACAGACTCACCTAGAAATGAAAGAAGGAAAGAAATGTAAAACTCAGTGAGTCAAAATGATAGAAGATCTTTCACTTAACCATTTTTGTAGAGACCACATTATGACCTATCTTTTACAAATGACCATGGCTCAATATTTGTGGCTAGATGAATTTGGGGGTACAGTCATGATTGCTATACAGAAAGTTTGAGTATTTTATTGGTTAAATGATACCAAGAGGCTTCTGTTTTTAAAGAAACAAAATCCTAATTGTGTTTTTTCCTCTTTTGAATAAAGTGATCCACAATGACTTGAGTTGCAAAGGAAATGTCAACAAGTCTGTACCATATGGATGAAAATCACAACTTGACCTTGGGTCAACTTGAGTGACTGTGTCCATCTCCAGAAAGATTGTAAGGGAACTGTACCCAAGGGGACATCCTAAAGCACTCATCTCATACTTTGGGTCTCCAAGGTGCTATTATGTACCTTCTTAAATACACTCTAGGGTTCAATATCTTCTACACCTCAGTTTACAGGTTGGGATCAGGTAAGAGACCCACACAGAGACTGCTTTATGATTTGAAGTTCACTCTTTGGATCTCTCACTTTGCTGCCAAGCGAGACTACAGCAGACAAATGTATACATAAGCTTACTTACAGATCATCTGAAAATGAAGATTTGTATCTTATGACTTTGGATTCTAATGCTGAAACTATCCTAAGTGACCCTATTTTTTCCTCTAATACCCAACCTGTTTAAGACATTCAAGTCTTGCCTCCCAGTGGGGAAAGTATTCTACCCTAAAACACCAAAATAGCTTGTAATATACCAGCTCATGTGGGGGCTTGAATACTCTATGTTAAGAGTATAAGGATCAATAAGAGTATAAGGATCAAGGCAGAAAGCTTAGATCACATCATGGACTTACAGTGACAGCAGCCACCAGACCCTCTGGTACATTGGCCAAAATGATGCCAATGAGGAAGATGATAGCATCTAGGACCCGGTATTTCATGCATATTGCAATGATGAAGAACATGATACCAATAGAAACTGCTACTCCTGCTACAATATGGACAAAGTGCTCAATTTCAATGGCAATCGGTGTCTTCTCATGTCCAACAGATGAAGCCAGTAAGGCAATTCTTCCAATGATGGTGCGGTCACCTGTGTTGATGACCATTCCAGTTGCTGTGCCTGGAAGGAAAGTATATGGATGATATTCCAGGAGGTCTTGCCTATAAGCGATACAGACTTCTTGGGCTTCTGCCTTCATCCTCTGGCCTGACATGACCACCAGGTAGGCATTGCCCTGATGTGAAGAACTGCATGATATTAGATCAAGTGTTGTCACATTGGGTACAACTATGTCTTTTTGGTTTTCCTTATGGAAAAAAGTCTTGTATGAAGTGATGGGAAAGAGACTAAGAAGTAGAGACTGAGTAGAAGAACTCTTAATTTTTATAGAATGTTTGCTTCAAATATTCCACCAGACCTACCTTCCAGACAGGTTGTAGAATAAAAGCTAATGTTCTTTGTCTCCAAGGGATTCTCGTGGGTAATATGACAAGTACGAGACTGAGGCTCTGATTCCCCAGTAAGAGATGAATTATCTACCTGTAAATGAATTCAATTCAACTTAACATTTATGAATGACCTATGACCTACTATATTCAAGATACAGTGTAAAATACTGGAGTTATTAAAAAAAAAAAAGAAATCTCTAACCTGAAGAACTTTCCTTTCTACTAGGTAGGGAAAAAAGAAGGTGAGGTAAAAGAAACAATATGTACATTTGAAGTAATCATAAAGTTTAAACTCAATAATACAAAGTAATTTCATGAAAACAGATTGGAGAAGGCTCTAGAATTAGGCATTTTGGCTGTTTTGCCCATTTGGTTTAATCAAGGACTATTGGGTGGGACTTTGGGTTACAGAGACTGGGACCAGATCCAATTATCCTTAGAGGGAGCAATACATTGGTGCTTACCTTACATCCATGTGAGGCCAGGATCCTGATATCAGCAGGAATCTGGTCTCCACCCTTAATCTCTACAATATCTCCTACAACCAGCTGCTCTGCAGGGATCTCCCTCTTTTCTCCATCTCTGATGACAAAAGCTTTCTGAGAAATGAAAATGAAAAAGAAACTTCAAACCCTGACATGGCATCTTCTTCATCTACCCTTGATCTGGATACTCAACGTCAGAGGATATTGCAGCTTTAGCTACAGCAAGACTAATAAGAAGCATTTAGATAATGCTTTAAGACCTGTGAAGTATTTTACCCATGTTTTCTCATTTGATCCTCACAACAACCCTAAGAAGTAGCTGCTATTATTGTTCTCCTTTTCCAGATGAGGAAACTGAGACCGAGAGAGATGAAATGACTTGCCCAGGGTCATAAGCTAGTGTTTGAGGCAGGATTTGAACTCAGGTTTTCTTGGCTCCAAGTCCAAAGTCTATGCACTATGTCATCTGCCTGTAAGTAGAGCAATAAGTCTTTCTCTTGGGCCCTGAAGGCCTCTAAATGCCATAGTGCACAGGGGGACCAGAAAACATGGAGAAAGATTGGGGTGAATTGTAGACTTGACAGAGAAAGAGAGACCAACAGCTGCCTGCAGGAATTATGCTAGCTATAAAGCACAGGAAGAATGTTAGATTAAACAGTGAAGACATAAGTCAAAATCCAGGATCTCAGATTGTGAGTAATCTTAGAGTACAAGTCCAATGCCTGTGAGAACACAGAGGCCCAGAGAAAGTTCAGTGACTGCCCTAAGATCATGCAGCTAGGAAGCATCTGAGGTAGCCAAGTTTTCCTGACTCCAAGTCTAGTGTCCTATCCTTGATGCCATGCTGTTTTTATATGATTTAAATCATAACTGTACCAGTGATGACCTGGATTCTTCCTTTCTTTATGCAAAGAAGAGAGCCAACTTCCCTCAATTAAGGTTGGCAGTTCCTTTGGCCATCATGGAGGAAAATTGTGAGTTTTAAACATAATACAGAAAAACTGCCACAAGAAGACCATTCTATGCAATGGGAAGGGCATTGGGTTAAGCCATTCTGCCAGCCTTCTGGTGGCAACATCAGTGCATGCAGGCAAAGAATTTGGAAGAGAAAAGGGACAGAATGAACACTGACTCATCCTCCCAGGTAGATATGGTCACTCTCTGTCCTAGTAAAAAGTTCATTAAAAGTTGTTGTTTGAACTTCTCAGGAGGCACTCTATGAATGAATGAAGAACAAAGCAGGCAGAACTATACGAAGATTTAGAAGCAGCAATAAACAGTGTTTGCCATGACACAGCTCAAGGGAGTTTTGAGCTCCTTACCCGAGGAATCATTTTAGTGAAACTGGCAATGATGTTGGTGCTCTTTGCCTCTTGATAATAAGCAAAGATCCCAGTGAGGATGACCACCACGATGAGCACAACACCTAAATAGACCTGCATGAAAGGGAAAGGAAACCTAAGTCAAAGAAGCAAATGCTCAAAATGAATCAGGTACAATTTAAGGTGAGAATTTCAATCTGCAAGCAAGTGAGATGCCCAAGTATTTGTTATATAGGTCAGTGGGGAATCATTTCATACATTTTGGTTGCCAGGCCCTATGATTCTCTTAACAGCTTCCCCAAATGCTTCACTTACTAAATTAGGAAATGAGGAAGTAGGCCTTGAGAGGATGAGGTTAGAGCCCAAGGATGCTGCATATTGATACAGGACCTTTGTCCCTTAGGAACCCATGATGCTTTCCTGTTTCATCTCCATGGCATAGAAACAGCAACCCTCAGGACATCTTCACTCTTACCTCCTATCTTACAGATGTAGCAACTGCAGTCTGGAGAATTCTCGTAACATGACCCCACTCAAGAGTGATTACCTGGCAGAATCAGGATTGAATTCCTTGTTTCCCTTTCTATCAGTCCAGAACTCTATGAGAGCTCTTAGTCTCTAGTAACCCTTCTATGATAGAGAAACCAATGACAAAAACCATTGCAGGAAGCCTTTTAGATACTTACGTTGTCCATGGAAGCAGACTTGTCCTTTGAAAACTCAATCAGATATGCAATGAAACACAGGACAGCTCCTGCCCACAAAAGGCTGGAGAATCCACCCACCATTTCTTTGAGGAATTTGATGATTTCTGGAGTTTCTTTGGGTGGAGTAAGGACATTGGGGCCATTCTGAGCCAAGAGTTCTGCAACTCTTGTGCTAGTGAGACCCTGCAAAAACAAAGTCAGGAAAAATATGTGTTAAAGAATGACTGGGCATTCTTAGCCTTGTAGATATAAAACTCTAGGGAGTGGTTTGATTTTGTTTTGTTTTGTTTTTGCAGGGGATTGGAGGGATCCCTGTATTTGTGGTGAAATCCTAGCTTTGTGAAGCTCCTAGTTGTCTTAAAGCTTGTACCTCTGAATTTTTTTTCATAAAAAGGAAAAGACCAATTTAGATTTCCCAAAAAGCTATCCTGCATGGCTATATAAAGAAGAGGAAATATCTTTTCTTGGGTGAATAGTAAAGATTTGCAGAGAAGAGATCAAAACAAGATAGTTGTAGCCCTGAAGTCAGAGGACCTGGATTCAAATCTTGCCTCCGATACCATCTTGTGACCTTTGGCAAGTTACAATCTCCTTTGTCCTCAGTCTCCTCTTTTGTAAAATTAGTAGGTTAGGCTAGAAGGCCTCTGAGGTTTTTTTCTAACTCTAGTTCTATGATCTTTCAATGATAACCAGAGCTAAAATCAAAAGAGTTCTTACTCAGAAAAAAAAATCTTATTTTGACCCTCTGAATAATAGATGTTGCTAAGCCAGTCCTTCTCTCTATATCCACCCTAGATAGGATATTACCCAGATATGAAATCCTCTCCATCCTTTAAGACCTCACTCACACTCACATTTCATCTACTCTGTGAAGCATTACCTTCTCACCCTAGCCTGATGTGAACTCTAGGAAATGTGTTTCTGTCATGGCCTATCCAGACAATTTTGATTGTACCACAGTTGTACTTAACACATCTATGCCTTTTATTATATTTATTTGTGTACATAGTAGCCACCTCCTCTCCCTTCCTAAGATGTAAACACTCTGAAGTGAGGAATTATATTTTATTCACCTTTAAATCTCCTTCTACACCAAACATAAATGTTTTAATAAGTGTCTGTTGAATGAGTAATCAACTTAATATTATCTAACTGGAATACTTGCTCTGGAGCAAGTATGCATACAGTACTGCTAAAAACACAGACAAACAAAAAACACCTTATGACAAGACATTAAAATGTATGAAGTTCTATCTTAATTGAGATCCACAATAGAAAGCAGTATCAGTTTTTTTGTGGAAGAAAAACTTGGAAGGGGTTTGTTTGTCCGCCAATATGTACCTGGTTGTTTTCATCTTTTAATTATATATAGCATAACCCCTCTCAGACTCTAAGATCCATAAGACAAGAAATGTGCTTTGTCCAGAACTCAGGGACCAAAGCAATAAAAAGATTCCAACCCTCCTGTTCCATGATACTATGTACTTATTGATGCTGTTATTCTTCCAATCAAGCAGGGAGAACTCACATCCTTCTTTCCTCTCACAAACCCCCAGGAAGACAAGGACAAGAATAACCCTTGTTTAAGAAACTGAAATAAAGTTTAGTCCTTTACCAGAGACATTGCATCCTTCCCTTCATTCAGGGATCCCCTTGGAAGAGATGACTAAGTCTGCATCCCCAGTCTAGGGACATCAGGGAGAACCAGGTAACCTTTCTTATCAAGCAGCTCAACAAAGACACCTGGGACACTAGCTTTACTCTAAGTTGCTGCAATGAATTACTGACACTAAAGTGTTTCCCACCTTTTCTCACCCCCTAAGAGACAAGGAATCAAGTCCCTGATGTTGGTCCTTCATCCTCTCAGCAACTTACTTGGACAATGTTTGTTCCATACTTCTCTTCTAATTCCTTAGTGCTGAGTTTGTGGTCATCCTAAAATTCAAGGGGGAAAAAAGAGAAAGAGTCATGTGAATGAGAAGCAGCGTAAATTAAGTCACTATATTTCTCACCAGCCATTGGAACAATGGGACAAAGCTGGATTCAGGCCATAGAATCCCAGCATAGGAAGGAAGTCATGGATGATCTGGGTTCTGGGTTCAAGTCCTGCCTCAGACTCCTGCTAGCTGTGCAATTAGCTCACAGCCTAGTCATTTACCCTTTCATTGCCCCATATAGCTAAAAGTTTAGGTTTATCAATAGATCTCATCTATAAAGAGTAGAGATATTTTCATGCTGGGAATTCTCTACCTTAATTTCCATGTACCCTGTCCCACTACAAAAAGTAATACCCTTGCTTACTCTACCTTCTGTAATTCTTTCCATTTTAACACAGGGTAAACAAAAACTCAGAGTTTCTGTATTAGTTTCTTGTCCAATTAGGACTACTATAAGAGCTAAAAATTATTCATTTTCTTCTCTCTTACTTTAAGCCAAAACTATATGCAAATGATCTTCAGATTACGATAACTAAATCTTTGAGCTCCATGTGACAGGGCTTCATGCAGAATACAGGAATCATGTAGTAAAGATGGCCTCCAGGCAAAGATTGTATCAACCTAATTTTAACGTGGAACAAATTTAATAGTCAACATTTATATAGACCTTATTATATGCCAGATATTGTGCTAAATGCTTTACAATTACTATTTTATTTGATCCCCACAACAACCTTGGAAGGCTGGTGCTGTTTTCCTCATTTTGCTGATTAGGAAATTGAAGAAAATATAAGTTAAATCACTTGTTCAGGAGGGTCACAGAGCTTATGAGTGTCTGAAGCCAGATGTGAACTCAGGTCTTACCGTCTCCAGGGCCAGCACTATATCTCATTGTCCTATCTAGCTGCCCAAGTACATTTAAATTTTTTAATTTTAAAATTTTCTCAGGTGCATTTTTAAAAAAACCTCAAACATTGGATTTTTCTTTTGTTGGTATCTAAAAGAGGCCAACTCAATAAAGCTTTGGGTCCTGTAGACAACATGGTGTAATTAGTGGAATAACACTGACTTTTATTTAGAGTCTGGATTATAGAGATTTGAATCCTGACTCTACCAATTACTACTTCTGTGATAGTCTCTGTGCCTCGGTTTCTTCATCTACAAAATGATGGTGTTGGACTAGATGATTGTTAAGGTCAATTTCAGCTCTGAGCCATCTGTTTCCTTGGAAGAGCAAAAGTGTCATGAAAAAAATAAATAGGAGAAACTTAGCCAAGGTGCTCCCAGTCTTCTTAGGATAACTGACCAGATCAAGGTCTTTCTTGAGTTCTTTCTGGCGGTCCTTCTTGCTGTATCTCTTCCTCTTTTCTTTGCCATCAACCTTGTCTGATCTTTCAGTGTCTACTTTTTCAATGTCCTTTGTTCCATTGACCTCAATAGAGTAAATTTCTTGTTTTTCCTGAAATGGAAGCAAAGATTAAGTGTCAGTTGAAAACCCGGTCTTTTGTGGAACTGGGGTCTTTGAGATCAAAGGCATAAAAATTAGGGAAGTGGGAAGAAAAAGGAATGTATCAGATCAGGTCTGTAAAAATATCTTCTGACTCCACCTCCTCTCATCTACAAATTTAAGGAGAGAGAGAGATAAGTGGAGAATGGAATGTATCTGGAATATGGATGGAAAAGTCATCTTTCCTCCCTTAACCCCAAAGGCCATTTCCCTTTTCTTCCCTCTTCTTAGGGATTTCTTTGCTGCTTCTTAAGAAAGACACTGAGCCAATTAAACACACTCACAGATAGGCTGAGCAAAACTTCTGATTGGGTAGGTTCCCAGAAGTTTTGGCAAGGTGATCCAATCTTAGGGTAGATCAGAAGAAACATTGTCCCTTAAAGCTAGAACAGACCTTCCAATGAAGGGAAGGGAACAAGTATTTATTAATACTAAGTGTCAGGCACTCTTCAAAAGCCCTTTGCAAATATTATCTCATTTGATGAAGGAGCCACAGATCCTTCAGATGCTTTCCTTTGACTGAAAAAAAAAATCCCAGTCTAGAAGCCAAGACTTCACTATGAAACCCAAGGGAGTTTGTCCCTTTTCTGGAGAAAAGGGACCTAGGTCTCAATAACATAAGCTGGAGAAGTTAAAACAGAAGGAAGCTCCCCAAGGCCATGATTCCCCTCTTCTCCACTGCCAAGTTTCCAAGGTAAATTTGTTCTTTTCCTCTCACCTCACAAAAGATCTAGGCTCAGATATTCATGCTGAAATTTAGAAATTTTTTGTAGACAATTGGGTTAGGGGATATGGGGATATGGGGATACTCCTTTTCACCTCTGAAGAAACTCTCTCTGAGGACAGAGAGATTCTAATGAACAGATTACAATTCCTTACTCCTTGCTTTCTCCACTTTGTGGAATCCTCCCACCCCACATTTCCCCTGCCTTTCCCAGACCCTGGGGCCTGTTTTCCCTTTCCAGGTAAAGGCAAAGTATCCTTAAATTGGTGTAGGCAGCTATGTGGATACTAATTTGCCACTTCAGCCTAATCCCTTTCTTCCCTAACTAGCCCAAGACTGTGGAGTAGGGGTTTGAGGTAGGGTGCAACACAACACATACCTTGCCCATGAATGTCGATGGTGAAAGAACGAGGCTGGGGTGAGGCAGTGGGGTCCTGGGCTGAGGGAGCAGTGGAGAATTCAAGAAATTGAGCCGCGAGTCAAAGAACTCAGGAGTCCGGCGATCAGGTCACAGGAGCTCGCAGGTTCGAGCGGGAAAGTTGTCCGGTCCCGGCGGCAATCCCAGGGTCAGTTATGGGGTGACATCTTGACAGGTTCAGTAGACTGCTCCCTGCAGAGAAGTGTGCCCATGCCTTCCTCCTTTTAAATCACCACCTGGGCCCCTCCCACTCACCTCTGAGGGCTGCTCCAATCTGATCTCTGGTTCTGTAGGGAGGTAGGGAATAATACCACAGGTGGGTGGATCCCTTGGGCTAGGGATGCAGAATCTGGAGCTCAGGACTTCTAGGGAATGACAGGGAGAGGAAGGAAGGAAAAAGCTCTCTCTCCTTCAAACTGATCTTTAATTTTCACCTCCTCATATAAACAAATTAAAAATAAGAATACAGAACACTGTTCTCCAGCCTTAATATAAAACAATATCTATAGAATGCCTGAGAAGGGGAATGATGTTGGGGGTTGGTGTCTGTGAGAGACTCAGTCTTGTACTTTCAGATTCAAGGATCCCTGAAGAAATAGGCAGTTGTAATTGACAATATTCTTTTATTTATCCTTTAATAAGCTCTCTCTCTCTTTTCCCCCTCCTCTGCTATATCTGCCATAAGACTAAGCCATTATCGGTACAAAGGTGCCACTTCCATTGCATTAAGTGGAATTAAAGTCTCTTCTTACACCCACTCAAGCTTTCTTGTATTGTTATCTTTACTTTAAAGTTTGTTTGCTAAAGGAAAGTAGACACATATATTTATCTGCACACGCATTCAACAAAGAGCCACCTGCTAGGAAGATGTTTTCCTGTTAAAGTGATGTTTATGGGGTGCAGTGGATAGAGCACTGGCCCTGGAGTCAGAAGGACCTGAGTTCAAATCTGGCCTCAGACACATAATATTTCCTAGGTGTGTGACTCTGGGCAAGTCACTTAACCCCAATCACCTCACACATACACAAAAGAAGTATAAAGTGATGTTTATCGAATGAAGAAGAAGCATCTTCTATTTCCTCTAAGTCAGAAGACAACCAATTGCGATGAGCATAAAGCTGACGTCCCAGTGGTTGTTGGAAGAAAGCATAGACTTTTATCGTCAGTAACAATTGCAAAGGCTCCTGCTTGCAGTCTACTACTCCACTCATTACCATCATCTTCAGTAACAACTAAGGAAGAGAGAAGTTGATATCACTGAACTTAAGTCTAGATGTGGTCATCAAAAAAAGTAAAAACCCAAATTCCTGATTTCCTTTTGGTAGTGGAGAGGGGCAGGAGGAGAGAAAATGGAAAGAGAACACACAGACTTATGGGACAATGTGCCTAGTCATTTTCTTTTTCATTAAATTTGGGAAAGGATTTCTAACAGGACAAAGAGGTTTCCACTGTTATCTTATAGCTTCCTTCAGCTACTACAGGCCCCCTTGGGTGATCTTTGCCCTGAGCTTGTCCAGAGACCCAAATTCATCACTGTGATAACCATGTGCCATCTTCTGGATGCCTGATTCTCAGATGTCCCAGAGGGGTATGTGTACTGATGTCCCAGGGCAAACAAATGGTACCTTTCTCCCATTTTCATTCCTCTGTTGTCACAAGTCCTCCTACAGTACCTTCTGGATATTCCACAGTACCCAGCCATACAAGAGAGATGACATACTCTAAATTTCCCTATGAACACCAGATGTTTGTGATGCTATAACTCAAGCAACGTAACAAGTATCCAGTGTGATCCCTATCTTGTAAAATTGTGGAACAGATCTCCTTTTGGGAAACCATCCACAGGGTGAAATTTTGGCAAATGGCTCTGGAGTTGTGATGGCTGCATGAAGAAGGGACAGGAATAAGCATTTATTAAGCACCTACTATGTGATAAGCACTTTACAAATATTACCTCATTTGATCTTTACTCCAGGCCTATGAAGTAGTTGCTATTACTATTGTCATTTTACAGTCGAAGAAAATGAGGCTAACAAAGGTTAGGTTACTTGCCCAAGGTCACACAGCTAGTAAGTGTCTGAGGTAGAAATTGAACTGTGGTCTTCTTCACTCCAAGGCCAGTGCTCCTGATGCAGTTTAGGGGTTCAGGGGTCCTGGGACCCCAAAATCACAACACGCAGATCCTGCCCAAAAGAATTCAACCCAAGCCTTCTCTCAGCCAAACACAAGGTTTATTAGGACATCCATCATATTGGGCAGACTCTTAAGGAGTCTGAACATTAGTAAACTATTGGCTAGATTATAAGAATCTCAGCAGTGGCTAGATTATAAGAATCTGAGCATCTTAATGGAGACAAGATGGACCTTTTATACAGAAAGACTGTGGGAGGGATCTAGAAGTGGCCAAGTAGTCCTTGAGGTAATAGAATTACCAAGGGTGGGAAGTGGCCTGGGGCCATAGGGAGGCAAGACAATGGAGGGGGAGAATTATACCCTCAGGCGAATGCCAGAGATTTGGCCATGTGGGGCCCAGATCCCAACCCCATCACTCTCTCCACAGTACCAATTAAGTGTGATGAATACATTCACTTTACCTCAGTCCTCTAACTGTAATTTCCTCTAAGTGTTCCATGTTTAAGTCTTTGAACAGAAGCCTATTGGAGAAAGGATCCATTCCAGGGGTCACTTCAAGGATTGTCCTGGGGCCATATTCAGGAATAGGTAGTAATTAAGTACTTAAACACAGGATTGTAGGTTAATTACTAGGACCTTAGAGAATTTTTAGTCTAAATTCTTCATTTTAAAGATGAGAAAATAGGACCTGGAGAGGCTATGCAACTTTCCATGGTTGTATAGAGATAGACAGTGACAGAGCCAGGCACTGAACAGTTCCTTCATCTCTAAATCCATCATTTTTTCCATTGCACCATGTTAATCATACATGCAATACCTGGCATAGGTCAGCAGAGCGTAACCTGTTCTTGGAAGTTTTTCTGTCTATCAACCAAGTATTCTAGTGCCCCTTCCTTTTACCCAGGGCTATTCTTGATGCTGGGTGGTTATAGAAGAAATATCAGGCACAATTCTTGCCTGTAAAGAGTTTGTAGTCTAATTGGAGAGACAAGACTGACACACAAAATACAACAGGGAGAAGCACAAAATGTGTAGTGCAGCCTCTAAATACTCTGAGGGCTTAAAGGAGAAGTGGATCAGAAGAGGAACAGCAAAATATCATTTCTTTTCTCCCTTAGGATTGTTATTGCTTACTTTTTTCCTTTGTTTCTTTGCCATCTCTCAGGATCTCCATCTCAAAAAGGGAGAGTACAGGGGAAAGAGATCTCAGGTTGGACAGTGTATTCCTGTAAACCACACTTTGTAGAACACTTTTAGAACAAGGGTAGTTTAATGGATTGTGCATTATGGATTGTGCATTACCCAAAAAGGATTCCAAAGTATACACTAACCAGAGGTAGTTTAATGCATTGTGCATTATGGATTGTGCATTACCCAAAAAGGATTCCAAAGTACACACTAACCAGAAGAAAGCAGGGGCTAGGCACTAGGGGAGAGAGTAATTGGGCTAAGAATGGAGATGGAAATGTTTTACTTCCTGCTGCACATCTCGGTCAATTTATGATTCATCTGCCCTTCAGAGTTCAACTAAGCATATTGATGCCTCACTGACCCACCTTTGAGAATTCTTCCCAATACCTGTGTCTCACTTACTTCTTCAGGTAAGGGCTAGTGTCTCACTGGGGAGGGAGAGGGAGAGGAGAGAGACAGACAGAGAAAGAAATAAGAGGGGGAGGGAGGGGGGAAGGAAGAAAGAGGAGGGAGAGAGTGAAAACGAGAGAGACAGAAAGAGGCTGCCACTCATCACAGAGCACAGGAAATGTTAGGAATAGAAACTACCTTCTTCTTTTAGAAAAATTGACATAATTCTTTGTAAGCTCCCTGGAGGTTTTGTGTCTTCCTTGCAAAATACCATTATTCCATTTCTTTACATAGTAAGCTCCTCTCTTCTTGTTCTCATGGGAACATTTAATTCATTCAGCCTCTCTAAGCTTTGTCTTGGATGAGGGTGGCGAAATTCAAGTCTCATATGAACTTCAATAACAGAGCTGAAGCAAGCAACGCAGGACAACAATTACACAAACATAACAGGGTACAGTAGTGTGGCTGACTGCAGGCAGGGGCTAGGTAGCTGGGGAGAGACAGAGAGGTGCTTCCTTCTCTGCAGTCTCTTCAGTCAGTTTGGGCTCTGTAGTGGCTTTGGGTACTTCTGGCTTCAAAAGAGAAAATGGATGATGCCAACCCCGACTTTTGCTCTCACTCTTGTTTCTGTCTCTCTTGGGAACCAATGGTGTAAAACTTTCTCTCTGGGTCTTCCCTTCCTCCATTCCCTCCAGCTATGGTCTTGCCTGCACCTTGACAGCATTCACAACACATTCATGGGCTACCTAGATGAACCCAAGACTGGGCCTGGGGCTCCTTGCTGTCTCTTATGCTCAGATTTTTTCCCATAAGCATAAGTGAATGAATCTCAATTCTGAGATGAATTTTTTTTCAAGTTTTGGGGCAGCCTCATGAGTCTGAGAGGTCAGGAACTCCTCGGTCCTTCAGTTAGAACTGACTACAGCTAGAGGCAGTTTCCTTAGTTCCAACTTTCTCAGGGAAGATGAACATGAAGAGACAATGAATGAGAAGAGAAGATGAACTCAAGGACTGGACTTGCTGGCCAGAAGACACAGTGAATTGTTTGGACTCTAAAGGGCAGAAGTGAAAATGAAATGCCAATTCGACAGTCCCACTAAGTGCTCTCTATTTTCATGTTATAAGTATCAAGTTCCTGGAAGGTTATTATAGGAGTTATAGGTTACCATATGATCCTCTTGGTGTTTCAAGCATTTCTTTTGTATAAAGGAAATAAATAGCTGCCCTGTACCTAGTCTACATTACACATTGCTTAC